CCCCCCCCCCACTAGTGCTCTCAGTCTCTCAAAGAAGTAAATAAAATCTTCTAAAAATAGAGAAGGGGGAAGAGATTGATTCAAGGTCTCAGAGAAAGTGAGTAGTAGAGGTAGGATTAGAACCCAGCTCTCAGATGCCCCGCCCTGGTACCCTCTGCTTAGGAAGAACTACTCTCTCGGAGTGCATACTAAACACAGTTTCAATCACTTTGCCCCTATGGTCTCATCAAACCACATCTACATGAGGTTCGGCCCTAGTATCCCTATTTTACGGATGAGCAAACTGAGGCTCAGAAAGGCTAAAGCAAAGGCCTGACTCGCCAGAGGTCATACCAATGGGCAGTGTTAGAGCTGGGGTTCAGACTCAGGCCCTCGTCCTTCACTACTGGGCCAGGAATGTGGCTGGGAGTGGGGAGCCTTGGCACGGAGGCTCACCATGAGCTCTCTGTCCAGTGCCCTCCCGGAGCCTCCTGTTCTACGACGAGGGGGCAGGCTCGTGGGAGGAGGGCCGCAGTGCCCTCCTGCCTGTGGAGCCCCCAGACAGCTGGGAAATCAAGCCGGGGGGCCCGGCTGAGCAGCGGCCCCAGGACCACCTGCAGCATGACCACCTGGACAGCACCCACGAGACCACCAAGTACCTGAGTGAGGCCTGGCCAAAAGACGTTGGTGGAAACGGCACCAGCCCCGACTTCTCTCACCCCAAGGAGTGGTTCCGTGAGAGGTAGGTGGGTGGCCCCTTCCCTTCCTGGGGCCCCAGGCTCCACCCACGCTCTGCGGGGAGGGGAGTCCCCATGTCAGCCACGCCTCCCGAAGGCCCCCTCCCACTCACATTCTGATCCAGTGCACAGAGGGGTGAGAGGATCCTCACTGGACACACTCACCCCGGACTTCTGTTCTCTCTCCAGGGATCTGGGCCCCAATACCACCATCAAACTCTCCTAGGCCGCGCCAAGACCCAGGACACAGGACGTACCCTCTGGCACCCAGAAGAGGGGTTGTCTTGCTCTGTAACCCGGATCCAGCTTGTCCCCCTGCCCCCTGGGCTCCCATCCCAGGAGAAAGCGTTCCACTTCTCCCCAGCCCTTCTTTGCCCCACTCTTTCCCAGGGCCTCTCCTTTCCCCACCACATTTGGACTGTTTGTTCCCTTGGGCCGACCACTCTGTTCTCACCCCTCCCTCCCACAGCCATCCGTCCTTCTCAGATAAACCACTCACTGGGCCAACTCCCTCCTTTCTCATAATGACCAACACGACCACTGCCTCCCTGCTCCCCCCACAGACACACACATCCACACACCGACACACACCGCCCCCCGCCCAGCCCCACTGTACAGAGACCAAGAACAGAAATTGTTTGTAAATAATGAACCTTATTTTTTATTATTGCCAATCCCCTAAGATATTGTATTTTACAAGTCTCCATCCTCCCTTCACCCCTCCCTTGTTTTATATTTTATGAAGTTAGTGCGGGCTTTGCTGTTCCCTGGCCCTCACCTGGCCTCCCCCTGCCGCAGCCCAAGCCGCTGGGCCTTTTTAATTGCCAGACTGCTTCCTCCATGAGCTGAGCACATGCTTTAAGAAGGCAAAAGTAAAAAAAAAAAAAAAGATGCAGCATCAATTCCTGACTTTGTGCCTTCCTTCATGGGAAGGAGCTAGACCAGCAGGGCCTTGACAGGAGGAAGGGGTGGGGAGGGCTAGGGGAAGAGGAAATGGAGGTGGCGAGCGAAAACCACTCCCTGGACAAGCGTGGCCTGCGAAGAGACAGGACGGGTCGCAGAGGGAGGTGGGCCGCGGGGGTGTGAGGGCCGAGAGTCCCATATCCATTTTCCAAGGCCAGGGGGGCCCTGGGGTCTTCGGAGGTAGAGGAAGCCAGCGGAGAGGAAGGGAGGGAAGTGGGGGGTGGGGCCAGTGTGGATGAACAAAGCCCCTTGGAGTGAATGCAGTGGGTTGCAGGCCCTGTGTGCATCTGTGGTAGGAAGTGGCCTCTGGAGCTGGCGGGCTTTCAGGGCTGCTGCATTGCTCAATGGCAGGGAGTGCCTTTCACACACACTCTTAGGTCAGGGCCTGAGGGCCCGGAAGGTGCTGGGGGATCCTGGAGCCAGGCAGCCCTGGGTTTGCCTCTCGCTTCCAGCATAGGCCAAAGTACCTGATAAGCTGGAACCTCACCTGTTCTGTGAAACAGGGCTAAAAATAGCTCCTTCCCAGGAGTTTCTGTGAGATGCTCGTGATTTGATATGCAGGTCAAAGGGCTCTCGGCATAATGCCTGGCACAGAGTAGATATCCAACAAACGTGTTTTCTTTTCCTTCACTTTCCTGAAGTGCACCCTAGGGCCTAGAATGGGGAAGAGGGCACCTGGGTGGCTCAGGGGGTTAAGCCTCTGCCTAGCTCCCCTGCCCCCCAGCCAGGCTCCCTGCTCAGTGGGGAATCTGCTTCTCTGCACCAGCCCCCCCCCC